TGCTCCAGATCTAAGGCCAGAGCGGTGATCGGGGCCGTGAACCCTTCGAAGATCAAGTCTCCCCGGATATCAGCGACATAATTTAGGTTCCCTAAAATGATCTGATGACCGGGGGCATAGTTGTCGATTTGTTCGAGGTGGCTAATCGAGTTGGCACGCAGAGCGAGGCCGCCGAACACAAAAATTTGACCTGGGAGGAAAGTTTCCCCTGAAACGGCATTGTTATTGATGATCGAACGATCCATCGAACCTTTTGTCGATGGCACAGTGGAACTCTCAATGAAAGCACCAATGTCGGTGTCAAAACCGGCCGATCTCGGGTAGGGGGTCCCAAACTGTGCATCTGAGGATCGAAGATAACAGGAGACAAGAGGGATACGATGTTTACCCAGGTTCAGGCCCTCTTAATGGAGGTAAAACTCTACGTCCTGCTTGATTGTATTTGATGAGTATAGGGGTTAGAAGAGTTGATCTACCTCGAGATCGTAATGGCTAAACCCTAGATGCCTAGCCTATATGAATTCTGATAGCCTCTACGGACTAACCCCTCCGGTTTATATCGACACCGGAGGAGCCTAGGGTTGTACAGAGTCGGTTTACAGAGAAAGGAAACTACACATCCGGATGTTTAAGCTTGTCATCCACGTAGAGGAGAGTCCCATCCGGACACGGGGGAAAATCTTCTACCTTATGTCTTCATGGCCCATCAGTCTGGCTCACAGCACACGTGCCGGACTCTCGAGGACCCCTTAGTCCAGGACTCCCTCAGCGTGTTGGGTAAGCCGGAGGAGAGAATCCCACCGCCGATGTTCTGGGTTGTGCGGCGAGCTTCATGTTGTTGTTTCTTCAAAAGAAAGTTGGGATCCAGATGAGCTAAAGGGTGAGAAAACCTTACTTTCCGGCTCGATTGTTGAACTTTCTGTCTTGGCAAATGTTCTGAGCCGGAGGAGAGAATAATTACCTCTTCATCGTCTGCACGGCTGGCCTCCGCATCATCCTGATAGTGATCATTATCAATAAGATGTACAAGAAATGAGCGAAGGGAGTCAAATTTTACCTCCGACTCATCATTGTCATCCAAGTCAAATAACTCAGAGGGGTTGGTCTTCTTCTTGGCAGGCTTTTTAGGAGCCTTATTCTTTGTTTGGGTCTTTCTCGCCGGTTTATCTTGAAGTTTCTTATTCCAGAAAGAAGAGTCGGCCTGCAACAATCAAATGGCTAAGAAAATAATTCAACGGAAGATGACTAAAGTTGGAAATCGTTTGAATACTTACAGCTGGCGGTTTGTTGATTACACAGAAAGGATTTAACCATGTTTTGCTGCAATCTGCCAAGCTCTCGTTCAGCAGGGTTTTGGTCATGTCATTGATGTCTTCATCAGTTAGCACTATATGGCAGTGTTGTTGGGGATCTTTGGCATCTCTAGTGTACTCGCACATTAAACCGGATCAGCGGCTTAAGGGCAGAATTCTCCATGCGACCCAACATCGGACTAGATCGATTCTAGTCAAGCCGTTAGCCATTAAGGCTCTGATCTTTGAAAAGACAGGCATATATTTGGCCCATTCTTCTATGTTGATCCGTTCTGGCAAAGGGTGCCTGTTGCTAAGCCGGTTCTCACGATAACCTGGCAGAGGATTCTCTCCTTCTAGAGAAGTATCTTGGCAGTAAAACTCAAGTTTGGTTCCAGTCCTTGGGATGATTGGGCAGTTTGGCGCCTGGGAAGGTGGCTTCTTTCTACCTCTGAAGCGAAATGCCACCTAACTCTAGGCTGAGCCCATCTGTGAACTCAGTCTGCCGGTTTAAATAGTAAAATTCCCTGAATAGTTCTATAGTGGGCTCCTGTTGTAGGTACTCCTCGCAGAACACTTCAAAGTTGCAAATGTTTGAGATGGAATTGGGCCCAACATCTTGAGGGCAGAGCTTGAAAAAGTGCAGCACATCACGGAAGATTTTTGAGCCGGGAGGAGTAAAACCTCAGAGCAGATGATCAGTAAAGGCAATTACTTCATCTTCCTTGGGCTCAGGAGGGGTTTCTATGCCTGGGACCCTCCAATGGATGACATCTTTGTTGGCTAAGACGCCCGTTTGAACATATTCGTTCAATGTTTCCTCGAGGACCCAGGAAACGACCCAGTTGCATGAGGTGACGGTCTTCGCTTTAGACATTTTTTACTACAAAGGAAAATATTGTCGGGTTAAGGATTCTGATGCTAAGTCGGCTAGTCATCAAAAAGTAAGTGCTACTAAGAATGACATAGCTAAACCGGAAGACAGTACCAGGTTATGCGTGTGAAGAACATATCTTGCCGGCTTAACAAGGGGACTAATGCTATATGGCGGGTTGTGGTTTATTATATGAACCACCCACACGTTTTCAGTGGAGTGGATCTATGAGTGATTTTTGCTAAGTCATGGACAAACAGATTTCACGAATTGGTGCTAAAATTTTGGATTTATAGAGGTTCAGAAAAAGGAAATAAATTCTAGACCTAAAGTGAAGGCGGTGGAATAACTCATATGTTCAGATGGATCTTATACAGAAAAAACATCTAATGCGATTGGAAAAGGGATGTTAAGCTACTACCACGCGTCTTCAATATCATGTTCAGATTCAACTACGTGATCTAAATAAGGAAAAGAAGAACAGAGAAAAACTCCGACGAACTGGGCAAACCCTAATGGAGATCTGCTACATGGGAGGAGGAGTACTTACTAATGCAGTTGAACAGCGAAAGTGCGCCGCAGTGCTCTAATCCGTTCAGGTTGATGCAGCGGCCGCAGTCGAGGCAGTTGACGAAGGTCGACGGCGGCGGAGCTTGGGAGCATAGGAACGTTGCGAGGAGGAAGGCGAAGACGAGGGGCAAGGGTGAAAAAGTGAAAAGGATCCCTGTCCCTATTTATAAGGAGATGGATAAATGGCATGCGCAGGAATCGAGGAGGCTGAAAAAATGATTATGTGGCTACGTGGACGCCTCGATTTTCGGGAGATCCATTAAAGATAAAGATATGTTGAGATGTTCTGGGCTTCGTGTGAAGTTAATGTGAGATGATGTCATGGCGGTTAACATAATTCTGAGATGTGACGTCAAGGCGGGTTATAATGAATTGGAAAGGGATTAGCGATGGAAAATTCTGTTAAGTCAAGTGCTGAAGATTGATGTGAACAAGTTCAAATCAACCTGGGGCCTAGTGTTGGGGATATAACTACTGGGTATGACCCGCCCAGGGAGGGCGGGTCATTTCACTGGCGGCTTAAAATAACGAGGCCCAAGAAGACATGAAGATGGCGGTTCATAGAGCAAACTTATTGAAGGCCCAAGACCCGGGGACGACTTGAGGCCCATGGATGTGAGCCGCCATATGTTTAACTTGTACTGTAAGGCAAGCTTAGTTAGTTACCGAGCCGTACACAGTGTGTATGAGCCGGCCGGAACTCTGTAAGCCACCGGGCATCAACCTGTATATAAAGGGGTGACCCGACGGCGGGTTAACTCAAGAAACAATTGAACGAGAACTAGGTCAAGTGTATTCGCTCCATGGTAATCGAAACCCAAGCAATACAACCTAAAGCAGGAGTAGGCTTTTACCTTGTTGAGAGGGGCCTAACCTGGGTAAACTCTCTGTGTCTTTTTTTCCGTTTAACCCCTTCAACCTAACCTAGTTGCGATGGCTCCAGACCTAAGTCCTTTTGCTAGGGCATCTGCCGTGTTAAGTCCACGACAGCCGCCATGCATGACGAAGCTGTGCGCGGGCACGAAGGCGAGCAGTTGTGACGTTCATCGGTACGGGGTAGTGGCGCGTGGATCTGGCCGTCTCGGTGTGGGCAGAGTGGTCAAATCCCTATATCCGAGCCGATGCCAGCTCGAAGAGCGCCTCATGGAGAGAGGTTGCCTCCGGCCGCCGGATCCTTACCGAATTTCATCCTGGTCTTTAGGCTGAGAGGCTATTGCGGCTTAGTAAAGCCAGAGGACGAGGGGCTTCATCGGCTCTGGGTTTCATGCTCCACGTCGTCGGTGGTTTTCTACAGCAGTTTCGATGGCGGAAGACACTGGCGCTGAGCATCTTCGGCTTGTACGGAGAAGGCGATGGACCAACTCTGCTGCAGTTTGGTGGTGGCAGCCGCACTGTTTGTATCCTTTATGTATGTTTGTATTTGTATGAGTTCATGTACTGACTTCCTTGATGTATAAATACAAGTAGCGCGTATACCTACGGGTGTACGCTTTCAAAAAAAATGTCAATGTCTGCTTTTGTTTAATAAAATATGTCAGAAACGTCAGGAATATGGGATGTTTAAATGAAAATCATCGGACTTTCATGAAAATCATGTGGTTTGTTTAAATTCCATTTGAAAAGTGTCCGGACGATTTGAGGTACACGGTTGTATGTCCGCCCTCTTGTGGATACGTCCGAGCATGCATGCGGACGGATACCGTGTCCATTCTAGGAGAGCTAAGTCTAGTGTACTTCACAAAATGCCAAACAGTTTACCCCTGCCCAGGTAAATCTGGTTTGTTCGGGAGAGATCCAGAATACTCGATTGTTCGAAGAACAAAACATGCATGCTGCAATGATCGCACATAGTAACATTCTCAAAACCAAATTTGGTTTCCGCATACAATCTGTGGCCCCGAATGATTCGCTGCAATTACGGAGTGCCCCGCTGTACCTCCGTGTGAATTGACCACAGCGCAATCAAGCGGCGCCAAGTAGCAGCACCTCACCACACCGGTGTGGAGGCCTACACGCGGCGAACACTCGAGGAGCCAGTCACAGCAGAGCCTCTCACGCATGCGATTCCCGTTATTACAATAGGCCTCTTTCCTCGTCCTCTCGATCCACCGACGCATCAGTGCCTCCTCAAATAAAGCTGACCGATCGAGCCACCATTTGCCAAGAAGTTTTCCAATCAGTTCAGTGAGGCTCCGTGATACGATTCCCCATCCGTGCTCTCCGCCGGCCGGCCGGGAAGGGAAGGGAGCGGAATTCCTCCGACGATGGCGTTCGGCGAAGGGGGAGGCGACGCCACGGCCCCTCTCATCTCCTCCGACGGGCCGAAGCGCCATCTCAACATCGTCAGGAACGGTGAGCGCCCCGCCCGGACCGAACCTCATCCCCGTCGATCCATCCATCGATCGGTTTCTTTGGATCCTTGTCTCTCGTTGCGTTTGGTCGTCGATGTTTGCTGACCCCGCCATTGGATTGGAACGCAGGGAACGAATGGACGGCGTCGGCGCACGTGATCACGGCGGTGATCGGGTCCGGGGTGCTGTCGCTGGCGTGGAGCATGGCGCAGCTGGGGTGGGTGGCCGGGCCGGGCATGATGGTGGTGTTCGCCTCCGTGACGGCGCTGCAGTCCACCATCTTCGCCGACTGCTACCGGTCGCCGGACCCGGAGCACGGCCCGCACCGCAACCGCACCTACGCGCACGCCGTCGAGCGCAACTTAGGTACGCAATCCACGTCCCGCCCGTCCTTTTCCGTTTCTTGGCATCTTTTCTGTCCAACTGTTCCTAATCCAAATCTTCAGACAAGATGATATTATAGTTAATGAGCGTGTAGCTGTATCCGTTCACTGTTCGCCGCGATTGAGTGACAGTCTGACAGAGACAACATAGCCACACATTGGGCATCAAGTTGTTAAACAAAGATACAGTATCTTTTTTTAGCG